CCTTATGTGATCAGAGTTCGGGCACTTGGCAACCCACATGTATTTATGATGGTTGAGGTATCTCAAGGTCATGTGCTCACCATTTGTGATCTTCCTAGCTGGCGTCTGACAAGCAAAGTCAATGGAGGAAGCTGGATTCACTTAATGACTTGTGATTCACTTACCAGTTCCAGTGACTCATGTAACAACAATGGCAAAACAAGATTGTAAATTCACAACAACGTTGCTTAGCAATAGATAAATTGAGGATTACCTGTATTGTATATAACTTCAGTTAGACTTTCACCGTGGATTCCAGTGTGGTTGGTATCTCTACAATTACATGATGAGGATCTTCTGATGCGTAATATTCTTTACAGCAATGAACCCATCATGCACTCACAAATTTCAAAACAAGCTCATTCAAATATGCCCATTTTTCTGCATGAAGATAATATTTAAAAGGAGTGCAACCTCAAGCAGCCGTTCATATGTACTCAGTTGGAGTTCAATAATAAGTCAAGATTCAGTAGGATTCCAACTCACTTGAGAGTTGCTAAATTACCTTTATATGAGAGTGAGTTTATTTTATCACCAAGGCAATTCTGTGCTGAAACCTCTTAAAATGAATTAGATAAGTAAATATAGGCTTGTGTAATAGAATATATGTTTAAGCCTGTTGCTGGTCTATGACCTAATAAAAATTGATCAATTGACAATTAAGCCTGTTCCAGAATAAGCAAATCGTTATCAAGAAAGTGAAGGAATGTGATTCAAAAAATTAAAATCTCTTACGATTATAAGAGACTGGACAGCCATTTGTCTGAAATGGTATAGGGTTTGCTGCCTGAGCAGGGAGTTGGACGAGTTGACCTCCAAGGTCCCTTCCAACTTTATTATTATTATTATTATTATTATTATTATTATTATTATTAGTAGTAGTAGTAGTAGTAGTAGTAGTAGTAGTAGTAGTAGTAGTACCACCAACAAGGTCATTGACTTCTGTAGTCCCCTTATATATCCATTGAGACCGTGCAGAACAAAATACTCCATATACTGAAGTTTTGTTCCAAGACTGAAACAAAATGTCTTGCCTTTTGGATTTCATCCTGAGTTCTTCAAGTCAACCCCTCCCAATGGCCCTGTTTCTAAAGATTCTACTACTAAAGAAACCAGCAAGTGACCAGAATGGTAGCAAATCAAAGAAACTGGACTTCCGGTTTTGTGCGGTAGTGACCGGTCACAGGCTTGTGGATTCTCTGCACTCCTGCGGCTAATTTTGCCCTGCTTGGGGACCCTAAATGGGTCTAAGTTGCCCCGGAGAGGCGACGAAGAAAGGGTGCTCCAGCAACTCTGGAACGTTGGTGGCCGTTCCGTTCGACTTGGGGAAAGCCTTCTAACCCAACAGGAGAAAGGCTGGCCATATTGCATCGACCAGCCCAAGCTACTAGCAACCGAAGTCCAAAAGCACTAACCAGCACAACTGTGAACAGTGTGTTTGAAACTGGGTGAGGAATTCGATCTTCTCATTTCTATTCTACATTTAATTTCCTGGAAAAGATCCCCAAGAAGCAAAATACCTCCGAAAGGGAAGGAGGGGGATTTCCACTCCACCCTTATGCTAACAGAAGCGGCGAATTAATTTTTTTATGGAAGATCAAAATATATGGAAGTGAAAAACAAATAGTTGCTGACACCTAGTGATGGATGAAGACTATGACAGCTATGACTTTAATATAAGACTTGGCAAAACCTGAGAAAAGCTAATCTGTGTTTGTGACCTTCAGAGTTTTAACAACAAAGAACAGCTGTGACAAAAAAAGACAATAATCTGGGCTGTAAACAAAGAGAATTACAAATTTCAGAAAAAACTTTTTTGAACTATTTGGATTATAAATATCTATTTAATTGGGACTCTAAAGCTATTTGCAGAGAAAAGAAAGGAAGAGAAAAACTCAAATTCGTGGCCATCATAGATCAGAGACATGTAGAAAGAACATATCAAGAAAACATAAATACTTCACAGGAGAAGATATATAGTATACGGCAACTAATTCAAACAACAATGACTTTAAACCACAAAGAAATCCAAAATAACTTCGAAAATATAAATCAATCTATTTCTAAGTTAACTCTACAACAAAAAAATTCCCAGAAAACAACAACAGAGAAGGAGCAGATAAAACAGATAAATGGATATAGAATTGAGAATAGAGGCTTAAAGATGGAACTTAACAAAACAAGGAAACATGATTTAATCCTAGTGGGGAAAAAATTCACAAGAATTGGAAAAAACAACTTATCCCTTAAGACTACAAAATAAATCTGAGGACAAGAAAACAGATTGGATAAAATGGACTGTAGAGATGTCAGGAACATCGGAGAGAAAGGAAATGATAAGAGAAGCAGAGAGAAAGAAAAAGAAAAAGATTTTCAACAAACATGGAAAGGCAGAAGTCCCGTACACAGACATTTCATCTGATATACTTTTTATATCTACAGCAACATTTACGAACATACGGAAAAACTTTTTGATTCAGCAAAATACATTAATTAGGAAAGATACTGGGCAAAGGAAAAATACTAAAGTGGAAACCAAGAAAATAGATGATGGGACTTATCAGAGAGAATACTTAAAAAAGAAACATTTATTTGAATATGGTTAAAGAAATAGAGAAGTTTTGGAATACCGTATATATGTCATTCTAAGAGGGATGAATTCCCTAAATAATATAGTATGTTTTCCCCCTTTTTGTTCTCTTTCTTGATATGAGTAATGTAAAAAAGTTGAAATGACTTAGATAAAGGAAATGTTTTAAATACTTAAATGTGATTGAATTTAAGAAAATTATAATGGATAAAAATGTTTTGAATAAGAATTAAAGGACTAGATGACTAGATGTATTAAATTGAATGTTTTTAATTATGGTTAAAACAAATAAAAAAATTAGGAAATAAATATATATTAGCTTATGAGGGATATATATTTAAGTAGTATGTTATTTTTAATGTTTTTTTACTCTTGCTCTCCTTTCTTTTTTTTTCATTGTTCTATCTATTTCTTAAGAAATGTAAAAGTGTGAGATGGTTCATATGGAAAAATAGAGTTATTTTTTTAAATGTAATTAATTTTTGAGAAATCTTAACCAGTGAGAATATTTAGAATCTGGTGGGAGAAACAAATTAAAATAAGGACTGTAACAGGATCTATGATAGGGCAACCAGAATAATTGGATAGAAAAGAAATATTATATTGATGTGATTATTATTTTTAGGAATATTGGGGGAAAATTAAGAATTGTATTAACTCAATGTTAGCAAAAGAGGATAGTTGGGGAAAAGAGGAAATCAACTAAAACCATTATGTGGATTATGGATTATAGAAATCAATTGTTAATGATTGTTTTACAAATGTAACCCAGACAACACACTGTTCACCAATTATTGTGATTTATGTTTTTTAAAAAATCAATAAAATATATTACAAAAAAACCTATATTATTCAGTAGAATTTG